ATTATCCGTACTGCGGAACAGAGCTTGAGCTCGGCACTGAAGCGCTAGGCCATATCGGATGAGCGCTACAAGACATCGGCCAAAACAAAGGCCCACTATCTAAACGAATCTCAACCGATCTCAGGCCCAAGGCCCAGATAAACCCTAATTCACACTAAGGTACGTGCATTACATATACGAGACTCATACACTTACAAACACTAACTTTAGCATCGGAGTCTCTTTTGCAGGTACCACCCCCACTTCGTAACAGCCGACGTACCCAGCGAAGGAGGCTCACCAATCTTGCCCAGCAAATCATCCCTCACGACCGATCTCTGGTAAGAACATTTGGCACCCACCGTGGGGCCGATCAAGACATCTCTTATCAACCACGCTTATGGTTTTCACCCGAAGCCATAGTAGACGAGCAACAGACGAACAAGATCACGCAACAAGAATGGAAGGCGAAGCGACATTGAGGCAGCTGATCGAGCAGGTCGATCAAATGCGGCAATAACACGCCGCCGACCTCGAAAACATCCGTGCTCGACACGAAGCCGACTTAGCAGCGCTACGAGCTGAGAATGAGCGCATCCGCGCCCAGCTTCCTCGGCGCCCCTCTAATCAGCCCCCTCAACCAATCAATCAAAACGAGGAAGAAGGGCACTCAATTTCCCAGCCACCAACTACACCCAGGGCGGCGAACCATAGGTCTACTGCACATCGATCACACGTACCGACGAATAGGTCAGACCATGAAATCAGCAATGCACCTGCCTAGGCTCCAGGGCATAGGGCGAGCATCCGCCGCCATCCTTTTGTTGACGGCATCATGGAGACGCCCCTTTCCTTTGGATGGAAGCCTCTCAACATTGATCGCTATGATGGCACTACCGACCCAGATGAACACGTCGATCTGTACATCACGTAGGTAAACCTATACACTAACAATGATGCTATCCTATGTAGGGTTTTTCCGACCTCGCTCAAGGGATCGACACTCACCTAATATACTCAATTGTCAGCGAGATCAGTCGATAGCTTCGACACTCTGGTGAGGCAATTTACGGCGCAATACGCATCGAGCTGACCTCATCACATCACATTTGCCACCTTGGCTAGCCTCAAACAGGGCGACGACGAACCTTTGAGGACATTCATGAAGTGTTTTGCTGGCATCTCCGTCAAAATCCGCAACCTAAATCCCGAGGTCGCCCTACACGCCACGCTCATGGCACTCAAGCCAGGACCCTTTGTTGACAGCCTGTGTCGACGACCTCCCTCGGACATGGACGAGCTCCGTGCCCAAGTTGCGAGGTACATTCAGATGGAAGAGCACACTGCTTTCCGCGACCAAGTTCATGGGAAGCCACAGGAAAAGCCAGACCACGGCCACAAAGATAAGGTGAAAGTCACCAATGATAGCCAATTCAAGAAGGCTAGGGCAAGCAAAGGAGGGAGGTATGACTTCTATACTCCCTTGAACGCGCCCTGAGTACACATCTTGGAAGAGGCTAGCAATACCAACCTGCTTACTCTGCCACCGCCTAGACACAGTCCTAGTAGCGCGGACAAATCCAAACATTGTCGATAACATAGAAACTATGGTCACACAATCGAGGAATGTTGCACACTCAAAGACCGTATTGAGGAACTCGTCCAAGGAGGACACCGGCAACAATCTCATACAGGAGGCTACCATGGACGAGGACGAGGACGAGGCTGAGGTGCTGGTACTCGTACATATCAACCCTCCGGATCTCAGCAAAACACTTGCGGGGCGGTGCAGGCCGAGGTAAGTCATGATGCATGATCGACTCCCTTACGTGGAGTCATCAATACAATTACAGGTGGCTTCACAGGGGGAGGCTCCAGTAGCTCGGTACGTAAAAGGCACTTACGGAGCATCAACAATGTCCATACTAACACCTCGGCCCCGACC